ACTGCATCCCCCACAGCTTTTCCTCCCGTACCACTATCCCCTCCCTCCTAGATTGTAAGCTCCAAGGAGCAGGGCCCTCAATCTCCTCATGTTTTGCATTGTATTGTTACTGTACTGTCACATGTTCTGTCCCCCTTTGTAATGTACAGCGCTGAGCGAACTATTGGTGCTTTATAAATACTGTATAATAATAATAAAAAAAAAAGTGTGAACGAGCCCTCATAGTGTTATTCTGTGTCCATGCACACTACTTTAGGCTATTACTAACCTTACTAACCTTAATAACCGCTCCGTATCCAGCACCCCCCTCTGCCAAGCCCTCCACTGGCTTCCAATTGCCCAATGGATAAAATTCAAAATACTAACATTGACGTACAAAGCTGTTCATAACACTGCCCCAAACTACATCACCGACCTGATATCCAAATACCACCCAACCCATAATCTTCGCTCCTCACAAGACCTCCTACTCTCTAGCTCCCTGGTTTCCTCCTCCCATGCCCATCTCCAGGACTTCTCCAGAGCTTCCCCCATCCTCTGGAACTCCCTACCCCAATCCATCAGACTATCACCTACTCTCCTCCCCTTTAGGCGCACCCTGAAAACCCATCTCTTCAGAGAAGCCTACCCTGCCCTCAGCTAATTGCCGGTCTCCTCCACTCTTCCTAACACTCCATCCCCCACAGCTATTTCCTCCTGTACCACTATCCCCTCCCTCCTAGATTGTCAGCTCCAAGGAGCAGGGCCCTCGAACCTCTCGTGTATTGAATTGTATTGTTATTGTACTGTCTCATGTACTGTCTCCCATTGTAATGTACAGCGCTGAGCAAACTATTGGCGCTTTATAAATACTGTATAATAATAATAATAATTAGCATTTTTTGAGCTTCAGCGTCTAGAAGCAGAAAAAAAAAATGTTTGTAGAGTTTTTTGCAGTGTTTTTCCAGCAGAAAAAACACTAAATGCTCCTAAGCACTCCTAAACACTGCTAATGCTGCTGCTTTTTTCTAGCTTTTTTTTTCCTCTACATGTTCTGTAAAAATGCTAATAAAATGCTAACGCTACTAAGACACTACTAAAAACTATATTACCAGCATTTTTTATCCAGTGTTTTTTTCCAGCATTTTTTCAACTTAAAAAAAAATGCTAGTGTGCTTGAAGACTAAGGTTAGACTCACATATGTGCGGGTGGTGTGGCTGCGGATCTGCACAAAAATCTGTGCAGTCGCACCACCCGCAGAGGAATGCAGACCCGCGGGTGGGTGCCATTAGTTCTAATGGCACACCGCCCGCACTGGAAAACGCAACCGTAGTGGTAACCGAGATCCCGTGCGGGCTGTGTTTTCAGAAGAAGTGCAGGGACTTCTTCCCTGCGTGTCATGGGCACGGGAGTCCATTCAAATGAATGGGCTCTCGTGCCTGCGCAAAACGCAGCCTGCAAGGCCGCATATATGTGAACCAGGGGTAAGGGCTCATATACAGTCAGGTCCATAAATATTGGGACATCGACACAATTCTAACATTTTTGGCTCTATACACCACCACAATGGATTTGAAATGAAACGAACAAGATGTGCTTTAACTGCAGACTGTCAGCTTTAATTTGAGGGTATTTACATCCAAATGAGATGAACGGTGTAGGAATTACAACAGTTTGCACATGTGCCTCCCACTTGTTAAGGGACCAAAAGTAATGGGACAGAATAATAATCATGAATCAAACTTTCACTTTTTAATACTTGGTTGCAAATCCTTTGCAGTCAATTACAGCCTGAAGTCTGGAACGCATAGACATCACCAGACGCTGGGTTTCATCCCTGGTGATGCTCTGCCAGGACTCTACTGCAACTGTCTTCAGTTCCTGCTTGTTCTTGGGGCATGTTCCCTTCAGTTTTGTCTTCAGCAAGTGAAATGCATGCTCAATCGGATTCAGGTCAGGTGATTGACTTGGCCATTGCATAACATTCCACTTCTTTTCCTTAAAAAACTCTTTGATTGTTTTTGCAGTATGCTTTGGATCATTGTCCATCTGCACTGTGAAGCGGCGTCCAATGAGTTGTGAAGCATTTGGCTGAATATGAGCAGATAATATTGCCTGAAACACTTCAGAATTCATCCTGCTGCTTTTGTCAGCAGTCACATCATCAATAAATACAAGAGAACCAGTTCCATTGGCAGCCATACATGCCCACGCCATGACACTACCAACACCATGCTTCACTGATGAGGTGGTATGCTTAGGATCATGAGCAGTTCCTTTCCTTCTCCATACTCTTCTCTTCCCATCACTCTGGTACAAGTTGATCTTGGTCTCATCTGTCCATAGGATGTTGTTCCAGAACTTTGAAGGCTTTTTTAGATGTCGTTTGGCAAACTCTAATCTGGCCTTCCTGTTTTTGAGGCTCACCAATGGTTTCCATCTTGTGGTGAACCCTCTGTATTCACTCTGGTGAAGTCTTCTCTTGATTGGTGACTTTGACACACATACACCTACCTCCTGGAGAGTGTTCTTGATCTGGCCAACTGTTGTGAAGGGTGTTTTTCTTCACCACGGAAAGAATTCTTTGTGTCATCCACCTCAGTTGTTTTCCGTGGTTTTCCGGGTCTTTTGGTGTTGCTGAGCTCACCGGTGCATTCCTTCTTTTTAAGAATGTTCCAAACAGTTGTTTTGGCCACGCCAAATGTTTTTTCTATCTCTCTGATGGGTTTGTTTTGTTTTTTCAGCCTAATGATGGCTTGCTTCACTGATAGTGACAGCTCTTTGGATCTCATCTTGAGAGTTGACAGCAACAGATTCCAAATGCAAATAGCACACTTGAAATGAACTCTGGATCTTTTATCTGCTCATTGTAATTGGGATAATGAGGGAATAACACACACCTGGCCATGGAACAGCTGAGAAGCGAATTGTCCCATTACTTTTGGTCCCTTAACAAGTGGGAGGCACATATGCAAACTGTTGCAATTCCTAGATCTTATAGATACCTTTGTTCTCTCTGCCTCTAGAATGTTATTAGAATGTTATTAGGACTGTTTCTTGCTACCTATCTGTGATCTACAAAATATCTCAACCGCCCTATGGGAAAAAAGGGAGGTGGTAGGGATACTTTTGCACTGCTGTGTTGCAAAATGTAGTAAAAGTGCATATGCATTTTTGGTGGGCTTCCGGTACATTTTACCTGTGAAAAAAGGACACATGACCCAAAAAAACGCATCCAAAACACAACCGCAGGTGCATTTTTGATGTGTTTCTGCCATATTCTTGATGTGTTTTCCATTCATTTCAATGGGGAGGTGTGTTTTTGGTGCGTTTTTTTACAGCACAAAAAATGCACCAAAAATTCAGCTTGCAGGAAAACGCAACAGACCTGAAACTGAACAGTATGGAGCATTCCATAGTATTTGCTGGTCATGCGCTTTTCTTCTGCTTTTTCAAATGCAAAAATGGAAGAAAAACCAATCAGTGTGAAAGCAGTCTAAGTAGTCCTAACACTCTCCCTCACTGCTCAGTAGAGTTGTCACCCTAGAACAGGAAGTGAGTTAGGCCCCTTTCATAAGGGCGTTCCATTCTTTTCATCAGTTCCGTCATGTTTTTTCCAAGAAAAAAATGGATCAGTTCACATCAGTTATGCATCAGTTTACATCAGTTTTTTATCAGTTTATGTCAATTTTCCATCAGTTTATATCCGTTTCTCATTAGTTTACATCCGGTTTTTGTCTGTTTACATCTGTTTTTATCTGTTTACATCCAGTTTTATCCATTTACATCCGTTTCTGTCCGTTTACATCCATTTTTCGTCTGTTACAGGTTTTTTATTTTATGAAAGAAAAATAGGGGTTTCTTCCATTAAAAAACGGATGTTAACGGATGCAGACATTAACGGGTGTAAACAGATGATCATCCGTTTACATCCACTAGTCCATAGAAATACATGAGTGTCCATTTTTCATCCATAAACAGACAGATGAAAAACAGACATACAGAACGCCCATGTGAAAGGGGCCTTAATAACAGGATTACCAGGCTTAAATTAAAGGCAAAAAATATATATATGAAAAAAAAAAAGAAAATGAATGGCAGCCATCACATCCACAGACCAGTAACTTGCAACAGTATCAATTTTTGTTTTTTAGATACTAAGAAAATGATTTTATCAAACATTGGGAACATCTGATATTTACAATTCTGTAGCAATTTATATGGTTCCAGAATGAAAAAAAAAACAAATGATGAAATATCAGCAGTGCAGTGATATATGATTGGAAAGGTGCAGCTTGGGGCAGTTTATGTCTAGTTGGATGAGGTGGGCACGAGACTATGATCTTATTATTTGAGGGGTAAACAATGTGAGCATTCAAATGATGGAACACCTAAACTGGCTCTAAAGTCACAAGGTTTTTCTTAACTTAACAACTTCAAGTCCTGGACACTTTCACCCCTTTCCTGCCCAGGCCAATTTTCACCTTTCAGCGCTATCACACTTTGAATGACAATTGCGCGGTTCATACAACACTGTACCCATATGAATTTTTTACCATTTTTTTGAGACAGATAAAGCTTTATTTTGGTGGTATTTATTCACCACTGGGATTTTTATTTTTTTACTATATAAATGAAAATGTCCAAACATTTTGAAAAAAAACTGTTTTTCTTATAAAATTTTGCAAATAAATAATCTTTCTTCATAAATCTTGGCCAAAATGTATTCAGCTATCTTTTTAATAAAAAAAAAAAAAAATAACCCAAATTAGTTAATAACCAAAAATTATCATTTTTAAAACTTTTTTTTTACATTTTTATTATTTTTTTATATTATTATTTGTTTTTTTTTAAACATACTGTCACCCTAGCAGTACAGTGTCACCATAGTGACACTGTACTACTTGTGGGGGGTGATGAAGATTTTTTTTTTCTTTTTACACTGATTGCTTTTACACCCATAAAGGCTGTAAAAGCAATCATTTCTCCTCTCTGGTTGCATTCTTGTAGCCATTGAAAATACTGTGAGAGCTGTGATTGGCCACATAGTACAAGGCTGTTGTGAATAGCCTTGTACCATGTGACCTCTGTGATCATTCACAGATTTCACACGTAGTAAGCAATGATGTCAGGAAGTGACATCTTACGTACTACTATTCATGTGATCACTGATTGGCCAATCAGTGATCACATGATCGGGACTCACACAGAGGTCCCGTACAGTGTTAGGTGTTGCGGTGCCACGTGTTCCCAGGGAGCGTGCAAAGGCAGGGAATACGGGAGGACGGCCACCCGCTCCTGCACTGCTCCCACCCGGCCATTTATCTACATGGGCCGCATAGGAAGTGGTTAATGCATTCTCTGTATTTAGGTGAAAAACTCCTCACTACTTGTTCCTTCCCCATCCCTTAACACATATCTGCCTCCTCTCACAATCCAGCGCTGTCTTGGCTGCGGCCCCATTCTTCTCTCTTCCTGGACTCACAGGAAACACAGGCAGCAGTGGGAGTCATAGGCTTCTGGTGCTATCAGTCAAATCCTATGAGGACAGAGTGGGGACCATGGTCAAGCCGCACTGTGTGTGTCTATAGATGGCCCAGAAGCTTGCCTGCACAGGTGCCCTCTGAACACATGGTTTACTGTGGGGGAACCCACAGGCAAGGATAGCACTAGCGTGCAACTACAGAAGAGAAGGTAAGGTTCAATACCATTGCACAGAGCAGGTAAGCAGAACATCTTTTTTATTTTAATAAATTGCCTTCTCAATCACTTTATGATGCTCTTACACTTGTAGATTTTTGAATGAATGTTTCTCATTAAAGCAGAACTAAACTCATCAATTTACCGGTTTTAAAAAAAACAGTTACATTACTGGCATGCCAGGAATTGTAACTGTCACATTTGCTTGCGCTCTCAACCAAACTGTCAAACCATCAAATGGCTGATGTCATAACTCAAGGGTGTCAAACTGGCAGCCCTCCAGCTGTTGCAAAGCTACAAGTCCCATCATGCCTCTGCCTTCAGAAGTCATGCTTGTAACTGTCAATCTTGCAATGCCTCATGGAACTTGTAGTTTGGCAGCAGCTGGAGGGCTGCCAGTTTGACACCCGTGTCATAACTGATCACATTTGCAGAACCATGACAGTTGCAGATCAAACAGAAGCAGCTTCCTTGGCTGTAAAGAATAGGAAGGTTTAGTTCCGCTTTAAATTCTCAGTACATTCGATGACTTGATAAATGTTATTCAAAGGTACTTCCAAATTTCTTTTGCTTTAACTTTTTTTGGAAGGAATTTCATTTCCTGAAGAAAAACCACATACACCATTAGAAATTTGTCTGTTCAAGAAAAACTGTATATCCTACTCCTTTGTATTTTCTCATCACTGCAGATGAAAACTAACATTGGTTTGACCCCACTAACAGAAAATTGAATGAACATTCTTAAAGTGAAACATCTTGAACAAAATTTTACTAGTGTATGGCCAGTTTACATGTCATTGAAAATAGCTAAATACACCCCCCCCCCCTCCCCAATCCCAATGAACCAATGTATGGGAAGAAATGTGGGCATGTATTACAGCGAAATAAAAGGCTGTAGAGTGTGATGGATCTCAGACCAAATAAACAAAGTCATGAATGTAAACACATCTTAAATTGGTTGTCAAGGCAGTCGGTTTTTTACCTTCATGCATTCTATGCATGAAGGTAAAAAAAACCTGTGTGCTGCCCCCCCCCCCCCCCATACTTACCTGAGTCTCCTTTCAATCCAGTGATGTGCATGACAGCCTCAACTGTCCCGGCACTCACTCTCCTCATTGGCTGAGACAACAGCAGGAGTCATTGGCTTTCACTGCTGTCAATCACGGCCAGAGAGCCAATGAGAAGAAAGCAGCGGTGGGGCCGATCCCACATGGAAGAAAAATATATTTGAAATATATTTTAAAAATATTCTTCACGAATATATTGCCATATATTTGAAATGCTGCAATTTTGGCCATATCCAATATATTTCAAAATATATTTAAATTTATATATATATATATATATATATATATATATATATATATATATATATATACACACACTGCATGTTGAAATGCATTTTTATTACAAAATAGATGAAAAATATTTTTAAAAATACATTTCAAATACACTGTATGTATTTAAAAATACAAAGCTACATTTTTGGAATGCATGTACAAATATATGTAGCAATATATGTTAAAATTACTTTTTATATGTTAAAAAAATCTGAATACATTTAAATCTGAGCGTAGCATTTTTCAGCGTTTTTGGCATGTTTGGTCGTGCGCGTTTTTGAGCATTTTCATACAGCATTTTTAGGCGTTTTTGAACTTTGGTGTTTTTTTATTAGCCAATAGAGAAAAATATCATCTGTTGCATCATTTGTTGCAAGGTTTTTCCTTTTTTTTAGTTTTTCCATCAGCTTTAGTTTTTTATTATTATTATTACTCATTTTTTATTATTTGCTTTTTTGCTAGGGTAAAGGGTTAGAGTTAAGATTAGGTTAGGGTTAGGATTAGGGTTGGGATTAGTATTTTATTATTTTCTTATTAATTATTTATTTATTCTTTTATTTATAGCATTTTACTCATTATTTATTTATGTTAAGGTAATAATAATAATAATAATAAACACCTAAACCTAAACATCTAAACCCAAAACAAAAAATACATTATTATGAATAATAATAATTAATAAATACATATAAAAAATAAAAATAAAAAAAAATAATCATAAATAAATACTTGTAATAGTAAATTAGTATATTAATAATCAACCCATAACGTTAACCTCAAAACCTATAAAAGTAATAAAATAATAAGAACAATATTTTTTTATTATTATTAATAATAATGTTTTTGCTTGGTTGTTTATTTATTATTATTATTATTATTATTATTAATAATAAAATAATAATATAATTTCTTTCAGGTTTTTTTTAAGGTTAGTGGTTAATTATTTATTTATCATGATTTTTTATTTATATGTGTATTTATTTAACATTTATTTATTCATATACTATTACTATTATTTATTTTAAAAAAAATTTCATTTGATCAGAAAATCGCACAAAAGGAGTGCAAAAACGTGCACAAACGCGCCACTCGCACATTCCTATTCTTTTCTATGAGAATAAAAATGTGCACATCTGCCCAAATTGAGCTACAAAAGTAACTCCAAAACTTTTTTGAGCTTCAGGCGTTCTGCTTCAGGCGACTTGGAGTGGAGATGTGAACCATCTTCATAGAGTAATTTTTTTCCCCCTGAGCATTTTGGAGCTTCAATGGAGCTTTGCAGCCTCAATGCGTATGGCGCAAAAACGCGCAAAACATGCAGAAACATGGCACAATTTTGCCGGCATTTACAACACACAAAGTGTGAATGCAGCTGAGTGGTGTCAGCGAAATGATCTGTATACATATAGCCGACACCTAGTCATCCAATAAGGGGTGAGGAGTATTGGAGCTCCCAGGACAGTTAGTGGAACGGAGCTCCACAAATGATGGAGCTGTTGTGGAACTACAAGTCCCAGCATGTTCCTGACACCTGTGGATGCTGAGAAGCATCAGATCTCCCCCTCCCCCCGGAGAGCAGAGCCCCTTGCTCCTATTACCTGCAATGTGCGGAGCTCCCGGGTGTCCTCTGTAGTGTGATGACTCCACAGCCAGATAGTGATGATGATGATGATGAGCGGAGCGCACTCCCAACTGACTGGGGCTAGGAAGAGACTAAAGGCAGCACGTGGGCGGGACCTAGCCTGTAAACAATTAGGAATCGCCATGGCAACCAGCGATGCTGCGCTAGGCTTGCAGCCGAGTGGATGGCGGAGATTGCGGGGGCGTGGTCTGTGAGATTCTAACTAAACACGAGGGACCAGAAAGCTGCCAGAGCAGAGCGGGGAGGGGTGTGGCTGCTGCGTTGCCATGGTAATGAGGAGACATTGTCCTTCTAGTACCAGAATTCCCGGAGATCACAGATGTTTTCACGTGATGACGTGACACAGACAGAGCAGTGTGAGCTTCCATGGATGCCATGTGCTGCACATACCCAGAAGGTCAGGTATACCTGTGTGTGTGATGGAGCCGACAATCCTGCTGATGGATTCAGGCTGTGTCTGTGCTGGAGATCACACAGGTACACACGACATGGCTTTATCCCTGGAAAATGGGATTTTTTAGGATTTATACTGAAAATGAATGACTCCATCTGCCCTGAGAGGCAAGTGCTGGGTACAGTAATGGAGCAAAATAACAGAAACATTCCCCACAAAGCTCTTTGTTACAATTCTTACCACACCACTTGTAGTTTCATCGCTGCTGACTCCTGCTCTGTGAATGCTGCTTCCCTGAACATCCAGTCTTCGCAGGAAAGAAAGCTGAACTAAAGGTATTCACACTCACCTGTCCAATGATCCCCCACCACTGCCGATATCTTCTTCTGAGTGCCGGGCTTCAGATCTCTTCATTGTTTGGTGCAGAATGACTTCTTGTCTGTGAGAGCCAGTCATCCCAGAGACTGGCACAGTGCTGTAAGCTGAGCTGCAAATGCACAGCTCAGTTTGGCATGCCTCAGAAGATAGTCTCTTCTGCAATTAAAGCTTTTCTGTTTGCCAGAGGTGTAATTAGAACCTTTAGGGCCCTGGTGCAAAAAGCCATGAAGGGCCCCCTGACTCCAGCCCAGGGCCTTTTACTCTTGTTGCGGGGGTCCTTTATTATGAGTTTCCCCCTACAGTACATCAGAGTCTGCAGGGTTTGCCTTACAGTGCAAGGGGTAACTCTGTGGACCTTGATGTAAAGGGGAACTCTGCGTATCTTGATGTAATGGGTTACTCTGTGGAACCTGATGTAAAGGGGAAGTCTGCGGACCCTGATGTAAGGGGAATGTTGCGGACTCTAGTGTAAATGGGTACTCTGGTGTAAGAGTTTCTCTCGTCACCAGAGCTCCTCTTACGTCAGAGTTTGCAAAGTTCCTCCTTACCTCAAACTCCTCGGAGTTCCCCTTGCACTGTAAGGGTGAACTCTGCTGACTCTGATGTAAGGCGAATGCTGAGAACGCTGATGTAAGGAAGGGGGGGGGGGGGGGTCTGGTGACCGGAGAACCTCTTACACCAGAGTTCCTCCTTACACAAGAGTCTGCAACATTACATCAGGATCCACAGTTTCCTTTACACCAGGGTCTGCAGAGTTCCCCCTTACAC